AAAAAGTGTATTTGTCTTAAAAATAACATTTTGTGCACTTCAAAATTTCACTTTTCTACAACATGTTATAATAAGTAAATAGTAGTTTAAGTATTTATATAATAGTAATAATATAATAATAAATAAAAATTAAATTTTGTTTGTAATATGAGTAATAATGTATAATAATTATAAGAATCTTTATGTAGTAAAACATAAAATAAAATTTTTTGCACTTTGCCTAAAAATAAATTGGTATTTTGCATAATGCCTAGGTATTTTATAAAATATTTGGGTTATATGTAAAGTAATATTAAAAATCTATGTTTTATTTACATCATCTTAAATTGAGTCGGCAATTTGCATAATGCCTAGGCATTTTGCAAAATACCTGATTATCCATACTGCCGGTAACACACACACATTTATATATATATATATATATATATATAACGTTTTGGCTATTTGTTGGTTTTGGGTTATAAATGTGATTATAAAATTAAGTTTTTATTGAGTTCAATGAAAAATCTCATTTTTTTTTTTTTTTTTTTTTATGAATAAGCTTCAGTGGTAATGTTAACTTTAATGAAACTGAAGAATCCAAATTCAACTACTTGAATTTAATTATATTCCACTTATAGTTCCAATATAATTTTATAAGTGTCTTACGATTCAACTAAGCGATTAATTTAATAATAAAACAAAGAACATCTTACCAATCTGTACATTATATTTTTTTTAAAACTAATCGTTTACAATATTTTAAAATTATAATTACTATAGTAAACTTTCTTCTGCTTATTATTTTAGAACATAGTTTTACCCAGTTTATATATTAAACATATTAAAACCACTATAAAATAATATTTCTTGTATTTTTCAATTATTTTTTTTTATTTCTATTTTATTCGCAAAATGTTTGAATGAATAGGTAAATATAACTTATTATTATTTATGATTGGATATATTTAATATAAAAGACAGTTAATATCATGGGAGTACCGACATATAATAGGTTATCCCAGCAGTAAAGATATTCTCGTTTACGATTTTGAGGTTCTACACTTTTTATTCATTATTTATTCACTCTGGGTGAATATTTCAATTCATTAAATGTTTATATTTTTCACATCGTGTTGATTAGTAAAGATCTGACTTCATAGACTGTAAAAAGTCGTATAAATGTTAAAATAAATCAAAATTTAAATTAGTTAATTTGTTGACCGTTTTCTTAGTATAAAAAACAATAATTACCAATTAAATTTATTTGTATTGTTATTAAAGGTGTATGTATTAAAAAAAAAAAACCTACAAAGAAAATGCGTATTTTTATAGACTCCTAAAAAATAACAAGATTAAAAATTACCATCCCTCCTTCTTTCACTTCTGAAATGTTGTTCTAGGAACCTGTGTAGACAAAGAAAAATTTGCAATTATATTATTTAACGTGAAAAACATAACCAAGCTCTTAGGAAAAATAATGAATGCATTTTTTATAACTTCTGAGGTGTATAATATAAAATGCAATATACAATCGAAATTTTACAAGAGTGCATTATTTTCCTTATTAATATCTCAGCAAGAAATAACATAAATTACTTAGACGCCACGAAAATTTGAAATTTTTTTAAGACTTATCTCTATAGTAGTAACTGATGATTTTATTTATATATATATATTTTAAACAAATTAAATCTTGCATAAACTATTTACCATACATGAAAATATTATCAAGGGTTTTTTTGAGTATCATTTTTATGGCAAATCGTGATCATCAATATATTCTTCTTCAATAAGTACAATTTGAATATTTATCAAATGAGCACAAAATTGAAATCGTTTACCATCCCTTGAAACGATTTTTAAAACGTAATTTTTTGATAGAAAATTACCATAACACATTAAACAACCAGATCTCTGTTTTACTTGGTTTATGTATACATTTTAGAGAGTTATTTATTAAAATTATCTTTGACAAAAATACGTATGGATAAATTATTGTGTAACATATTTTCTGCTTCGATAGCCCGAAGACATATAACACAAATGTCAAACTAAATGTGATTTATGGCTGGACAGTGAAAATCTAACATTTTTCTATGGTATAGAGAGATTAGTTAGCTAACGGAAAATTATCATACCAACATGGAATTCTTTTTTGTCCTGAATAAATATTATTCCCATTATTCGAGTTATGTACGAGTTATAATTGTATACAAATCTTTTTTAAATAGTATTATAATTTTTGTGCAATCACCAAACAAACCATATTACTGCATGAACCAATGTTTCATTATATAAAATAATTATTCCTACACGAGTTTTCAAAATTGGTCGAATTAATGAAGCGAAATGACTAGATTACGATTAAAGTTACAGTAGCGATGAGTTACTGAGTAATTATTTGCTCATGTATACTTACACCTCATTAAAGCAATTACGTGTACATAATTAAGGCAGCAATGGGGTACTATCACAACTGTTCAACTGCAACAACTTTTTTCATAAATATTATCAACATGACTTCAGGTGTGCGTTTTAAAATTTGAACTAATGACATGGACGTAAAATTTAAATTTTTTGAAATTAGAATACCGTAATTTTATTGTTCACTTTTTTATTATTGTATAATATTCTTGACGTGTACATCATTTTTCAATTTAATAAAATTATCAACATATTTTATTTAAATTGAATATATTAAATAATTTTTATCATTAACCATCTGAAACCATCTGTGTAATAATTCCAACACGCATAGTATTAAAAATTATTACGATTATTGAATAGTAATTGTGAAAGGAACAATGTTATAACTACCAATGAATCAACAGTACATGAGGCCAATAACCCGTGAACCGATATAAAAGTATATCTTTCGTAGTTTTTAGAACATTAATTGTGTCTTAAAGTCCATATGAAAACAACAATTATGTTTCATTTTTATCAATAGATTAATAACTTACTTTAAATTATAAACATTTTAAATGATTTCAAATTATAATGATTTTAAATAATTTTAAATTTTAATTATTTTCAATTTTATACTACTAATTTAAAATTTTTCTATACAAAATACAAAATAAACATATTAAATACGTTTTTAATAGTATTTAATTGTTTATAAACAAACAATTGATTTTTAATAAACTAAAATTTGTTTGGCATTTTGATCATCATTGACCGTGTAGCGTCTTTCCAATATATTATTCAGTTCACGTCTGTCAGCTATGTACACTATCGGAACAATGGTTTCCCGTTCATTTAGTGACCTCATAATTATTTGATGATTTACATCGAAAAATCTTACTTGTACTTCTAATTTTTTTACTCTCAAAAATAAAATATTTTAGATTTTATAAATGTTTATTATATATATTTATACTAATGTGTTGTCTATAATCTGATAAAATAAAATGAGAATCAATTTGTGGGTGTATTACTTTTATAATTTCCTAATTTTTGTAAACGATTACAGTGTGGTAACAAAAAATGATAATAATTTAAGTCCGCAAAAGTATTCGTAAATTTTATAACTCAGAAAATAATACAAAAATCTATTGCAGTTACGTGTGCACATCCGACTGAGCAACACGCTCATCGCTATCGCACTCTCGCATTTATAGCTCTCGTTAACGTACTGAAGCCCTTCGTGTGTACAGGTAATGTGAATAACTATTTAACCGTTGATCCATATACACATATTAACATTACAAATTAATAAAACATCCAAAAAAATGGGTGATCCTCATACCAAAACTAAAAAGCTTAAAGAAAGATTTATTGCCTCATCTAAAGTTTCACCTAACAATCAAAATATCCCAACAATATCTAAAACCGGGCCCTCCGGCTTTAACGTGACTAATGAGCCTCTTTCATCTTAACACTCCGATAACAACTACAACAACGACGCAATTAAAACCATCGATATAAGTATTTCTAATCACGATTCCATCATACATTTGTCGTACATTTGTTACACCGCTACTGATTAATATTATTATTCGGTGTTTGTGTAAAACAATATAAGGCCACCAGCCATTACCGCCTTCACCGCTGTGTTTTTTTTTTTTTATTCTTTTATTTTCATCGTCCTATCTACCGTGCGTCGTGCCGTGACATCACCGGACCACGACAAGATGCGTTAACGCGTGAAAATTTACATTTACTATCATACAGTTGATATTTACCGGTGTATAACTGATTCGAGTACACATGCCGTATGCCATTTACGAAAAATGACTACATATTTGTGTCGTATAATATCTATACGGATAAATGTATTCTTCACTTACCTTAACATTTTTTTTTTTTTGAGTTTCTAGATTTACAGTAGTCATTGGAATTTTAATTGTCTCATACAAATGTGTCTTATGTCTTTTGAAAACCTTTCTAAGACATCGTTCGGATGGACCGAATGCCACCATTCTTCTTGTTATTATTTCAATTACATGTTACTTAAATTTATAAACAAATGTAATTAATTAATTAAAGGCAATGTAACTGTCTTTCGAGTAAATGTATTGTTCTACTTGATATTATATTACATTTTACTTTTACGTGTCTCTATAAACACTCAATTGTTTGTGTTTGAGCATCTGCATGTGAATCAATAAAGTTCTTGCGATAATTAACAGTTCGGTGATGAAAACTATTATTTTCTACAGTGATGTATGCTTCCCACTCATCAAAATGAACTGTTGATCCTGGTTCTATTCCTTAAATTATTATTTTTAGAAATATGACAACAATAAATTGACTGCAGATAGCATACAACACGTGTACCATGAATGGTTGTATACAATTAGCACGTTGGATACAATTTTTATAATTTATCAAGTGTATATCGGTAAACTTTTAACGCATGGTTAACATTTATTAAACTTATTTAAGTTATTTAAATTAAAATATAAGATATTATTATATTAATAACAACAAAATTGTATTTAAAATATATTTATAAATTATAGTTATTTCCATTCATAATACTTATAATAACCATTCTTTGTTTTTGCTTTTAGGTTTCATGGGTTCGTCGCCGAGATTGGCACATACTAAGTTCCGGCGTTTTTATGTATACCAATGATGACAGATTCCACGTGTTGCATGCAGACAACGCCGATAATTGGGATTTACAGATAAAATATGTCCAGAAAAGAGATGCTGGTTCATATGAATGCCAAGTACGAATATTTTGATAAATAATAGCAATATTGAAATGATTCGTAATACTAGATAGTAAAATGATTACAAGTGTGATTATCACACTTTTAATCATTTTACTAATAAATAATACTTAATCATATTACTCTTTTTCGATTAATTTTTTGTCTCAAGTCCGTTACATTCTTCCTATTGCGGTTAATTTAGTTAATGGGTATAGCATTTTTAGATGTGACAAAAATACATACATCAGTGATAGTCGATGGGATATTAATTGCCGTGAAAATTAATTGCGACTAACCTAAATATTTCACCAAAAGCTGACGTTAAACAATTATTGGTTTCTGTCACTATTCCCGGTGGCATTATTGGCCTTTTTGCTGACGTCTACCTTCCTCCTAACTCTAATAATTTTAAATACGAATGTCATACAGGGTCTATAGATCATGTCGGGCAATCATTGAATTTCAAATTTGGTATTTTTTGCGGTGACTTTAGTCTACCACAAGTAATTGGGCCAACGATATTTCGGGTCTTGTCTACAGAAAGTCCGTCACTGACAAAGTACGACTGGTAGGTGACCAATATGGCCTAATTCATTTCTATCAAAAGAACGACTTATCTAACAGCAATGGCTCCTTTCTAGATTTAGTTTTTTCTAGTGATAATTCTGTAAAAGTAAGCCCGTCTTCTGAAAACCTTATCCCCTGCGGCTCTTATCATCCTGCGTTATCTACCTCTTGTCCATTTCTCTAATTCTCTCCTTTGCCAACCGACTTACTAATCACTAACCGAACGCCGTAATATTTCCTATTGTAATTTCATTAATTAATTACTTGAATAGACTATTGATACACCCTGTTTGTTATAAAAGGGACTATTGATACACTCTATTGGTTAGAATGGCTCAACATTCGTGTTCTGGATGCACCAGGTTTCAGGGCTTATTTTATCTACCTGTGAACCGTTCTAATTTTGCAAATAATTCTCCTATAGTTAGAATTATGTCGATTGCCAATAATTTCAGTGTTTAGTATTTTCGTACCTTATCCAAATTTGACATTTTAAAATATTATATGTTTAACAATTTTCACAGTTATATTTATTTTAACGTTAATTTTATGTGTAGTTTAAATCAATTGTTACACATCTCGTTTTTGTTATATAATTTATATGTATTTAACTTATGTTAGATCTTAATTTAAAATACACTGTTTAGAAGCCGAATGGCGTACATTGTAATAAAAATAAAATTAAATAAATAAATAATATTTTGTGCTGAGATTTTATAAGCTCAAAAAAATGTAAAATCTATATGAATATCTCACTCACTATTTATTTCAATAATTCGGATACATTTTTTGCATACTTAAGTTATTTTATAATATAGTTAAACTATTCAACGGTTTTCTCACAAATAAAAAATATCATTTTTCAAATTTATTTTTATTAACTTTAAACTATAATCTATATCCTATGTAAATCGCACCTATATCGACATTTGGTTTATTTTTATCTCAAATAATGAATTGCAACTGTTTATACTTGATTACTTATCAATCATCAGTAATCTAAATTTTATTAATTCAACACAATGTCCTATTTGCAAAATAAAATTTAATTAACTACAGCTATACAATTGTACTATATTAATATAGTTTCTTGAAACGTCCAACTACATTATTCTAGTATACTGATTCGCAAGGCCGTATCTAGAAATTTTTTTCTGGAGGGGGGGTCTTCCAAAACATGTTTATTTTATTGAATTTAGATTTTGATTATTTATATTTGATTAAAAATAAGACAGAAAAAGATTTAACCTTCTTTTATTAAAATATAATAAAATCAAATAAACAAAATTACTTTGACATCTTGTCACCTTACACTATACAAATATGAAATATAAAATTAAGAAATAAAAAATACACAAATACAAATCATATTATTTTAAGCTAATAATATGTTCCTATCTTTTTGAAGAGCAAACTGGTTTAACACTTCATCGGGATTAACCGTAACATCTCTATGGACACTTAATATTGTTAGTCCAGTTAGTCTTTCTTGTCCTGTAGAGTTCCGTAAAAATGTCTTGACGCGTTTTAATGTTCAAAAAGTTCGTTCGGGAGTTGCTGTAGAAACCGGTAGCGTAGCTTATACTTTTAATAAAAAATGAATATTTGGAATAAGTTCAGGATTACAATAATTTAGTGCTTCTACAGCTGTATGTGGACGATTTAAATCTTTGAAAGCAATCCATTTTCTTTTCCATAATTTTAGTTCTGAAGGTAATGTGTCAACATTTATAAAATCTGAATATATACTAAAATCTGATTCTAAAATTGGAGATTTCAAACACATTTTTGGTATTAATAAATACAAAGACGATAAAATCGTCTTGTGTTTGGAAAACCATTCTTTAAGTTGACTAATAAAATCATCATAGAATGGAATTGCAATTGCAATACGAAAATAGTCCAGGAATTTTGGTATCCACATTTATTTTATTTGTTGAACGACTTACTTGGTATTTTTATTTTTTCTTCCTCGTTCACGGATATGAACAATTGTTCTGATTTATTGAATATTTCTTTGAAATTTTCATTAATATTTGTTCGCATATCTTTCACTTCACTTAAAACAGTTTTAACATGATCTACTGCTTCACCTAAATCACATTTCACCGACTGCAATATTTTACATAATGACAAAGTTATAGAAAAAAGTGTGGTCGCAATTATCATACTTATTATAAATTCACTAGTTGTTACACACTTATATAACTGTAAAGCTTTAGATGATGTTTCAATGTCAACAAATATTTGTAGTTCTTCTAATGTGGCAACAATAGGTTTATATATTTCTAAAAATCTAAGCATACCATCATGATTTTCAACCCACCTAGTCTCACACATGGAAGTTAATTTTGTCCATTTAGTTTCAGGAAGAAATTCTTTTATTTTATTTTTCAATAATTCAGTTCGTTTAGCCGATATTTTAATAAAATTTCCTACAGATTTTATTGTTCCAATACAATTTCGAATATGGTGAATGTTTGACGAATGAGCAAGTGCTAAATTTAACGAATGTGCACTACAGTGGACATAAAGTGCAGCGGGATGTACTTCTCTTATAACAGACTGTACTCCTTTAAAATTACCACTCATTGCTGCGGTGCCATCATAGCCTTGGCCAAGTAAATAGTCACATTTTATACCAAGATTTTTTAAAGTAACTAGAATTACTGTGGCCAAATTTTGACCAGTGGTAGAATTTAGCGGTACAAATTTTAAGAAGTCTTCTTTCAATACATAATTGTTGATTTCATTTTTTTTTAATATTTAAATTATTTTCTAAATAACGTACACACAATGACAGTTGTTCAACACGCGATACGTCAGTAGTCTCGTCGACTAATACAGAAAAACATTTTGCCTGATTAATTTTGTTAACTAACTGGTCCTGTATAATTTTTCCACATATATTTATAAAATTATTTTGAATCATAGGACTTATATATGAAGCATTTAACGCTTGATTCTCAATGTGATATGTTAGATTTTTATCTTCAAACGAAATGCGCATTCTCAATAATGCTCGGAAGTTACCATCATTGTAAGTAGGTTCAGAATTGTCTAAAGAGAGAGGCCGTAATCGCTAGTACCGCGTAAAGCTATTTCTTGCCGCCCACAAATAATAATTGTTTGAATAATAGGAATTAATCTCTTTCTATTTTGATCAATTTGAATAGCACGCATTGAATAATTTTTTATTTTATTTTAGATTTTATTTAAGATTTTATTTTATCTATTTTTTGAATAATATTTTGACAGTTTTTGGAATAAACAGCTACAAAATTATTTGCGCGCATAGCCTTAGATTTGTGAAATTCAGTTTTACTATGTTCATTAAATTTCTCAATCGCTTTTTTCCAGTTATTAAAAGGTTTTACAACTAATGTATTAAGTTTCTGGTGACTGCCTTTGCCACCAAATTCGCGACCAAATATAGCACAATATTTACAAACTGCACCTTGTTCACCAATTCTCGAATAAACAACCCAAGGAAAACGCTTAATTCATCCTAATTGAAACTTTAAATTTTTTTTTAGATTTTTAGTTATTGGAAATTTGTAATTTTCATCTGGTGACCATTGATCAGTTAATAATTTAAATTTTATTTCATCACATACATTTTTACCGAAACAGTGGCCAATATCGTTTTCTTCAACTATTTGCTCCGTGTCCGATTTTAATATATTATTTTCGTTTGTTTGCAAATATGTGGGTGAATGACTACATGATGGCTCAGGCATGTCTATTTGTGGTAGATGAATAGGAACATTATCAGTCTAAAATAAAGTTTATGAATTAACATTTTGGTAGTTAAATTATTAATATACATATGAAATAATATAACGTACCTTTGGAAGTTTAGAAAAATAATTTGACAGTACATTTTTGTTTTCTCGTTTACTCATTATGATGCATTTATAAAACGATTCGACGTGTTTGTCACAGTCTTGCAGACGGCAAAATGGTGTAATAAATAATAATATAGTTATAATTTACACAAATCTAATATTGTTGTTGTTAATCGTCGCTGATCCCCGACCGGCATCGATAGCGATCGTTGTCCTTCAATAATAAACTATCTATTATTAGTATAAACGTCAGATTTTTATGTAATACGCGCGTTGGTAATACCAACTTGGTATAGAAGTCTGTGATTATTATTATTAGACGCTATATTTTCATATGATATTATGATATAAAACTAAAAACAGTCAATTATTAATTGGAGCTAGTTATTGCTAGTCATTTGTGACTGATATTTTTATGTTGGTTTTAAAAATAAATAATTATTTTAAAAATTTGTAAAATATTGAAGAAATTTGGGGAGGGTCCAGACACCCTGGACCCCCCCCCCCCCCAGATATGGCCTTGCTGATTCGTGCATGTATACTGCGGCTTTCATTGAGACAAACTAACCATTGACATTCTATCATTCCTTCACTCATACA